CACAAGCAGGAGGGGAAGGGTACTGCACGAATTCATTAATCACATATTTCTTGAGTACCTATTATGTGCTAGGTACAGTAGTGTTTTGATTATAGAGATGAATAAAATGTTCAAAAACTTCAAAGGATTTTTTAAAAACTTTTTCATGTACCATAGTTTTTGCTAGTTACTATGGATATTAAAGTGATAAATGCAAAAATATTCATTGTAGTTTGTTTTCTAATGCTGTGATAAAAACACTGTGACTAAAACCAACTTGGAAAGGAAAGGGTTTGCCTCATCTTCAGCCCTCGGTTCATCATAAAGGAAACCAAGGCAGGAGCTCAGGATAGGAGCTGGAGTACAGACCGGGGAGCAGTGCTGCCCCTGGCCTGTGCTCACACCACCTGCCTGGGGTAGTACCACTCACAGTGGGCTGGGCCCCTCCCACATCACTCAGCAATCAAGAAAATGACTCACAGACATGGCCATAGGCCAGTGCAATGAAGGAAATTACTCAATTGAGGTTCCCTCTACCCATGTGTATCAAGTTGACAACTGACACTATCTAGCATAGTTGAGCCCTTGCCAAGTTGACACACAAACATCACTATTAAACTACAACTTTTCCATTTCTTATCTCCAAGATATGATGTTAATATTACACTATAAAACAGTACAACTTTAAATGTACCACAGTTTTTTAAAAATTCAAACATTTCTGAAGTTCAAAGTATCTTTAAAATATCTTAACTGTGGGCTCTTGTAAAATTCAAAACAAGTTAGATATTCTTATCTCAGAAGGGAAGAACTGGGCACACTTAAGTAAAACCAAAATCCAGCAGTGTAGCTCATTGTTGGACATCTAGGATTCACTCATGATCTTCTGGGTTCCAAAGGGCTTAGGCAGCTCCACTTTGCTGATTCTGCCATCCACTTCACACCTGCCGCTGCCCTTGGTGGTTATCTCATGGTTCTGGCATCTCAAATATGCTGGGGTCTTGTCTGCAACTAACCCTGCACCTTCACCAATGGCCTATTTTGGCCTCACACGGTACCAAGCCTCAGATCCTCTCTGTGATCCCTTCAGTCCTGGAGGGTCTTCACTGCAGCTGAGGCTGTACCTTCACCAGTGGCCTCTCCTGGCTTCTCACAGTGCCAATCATCAGCTGCTTCCATGACCCCTTTATGCCTTCAAAACTAGTACCATTTAGGAGACTCTTACACATTTCCAAGTCTGGCTTCTAGCTTGATATGCAACTTTGGCCCTTCTGGACCATAGCTTCTATATGCTGACCTTGAAGAAATATTTCCCTAAAGATTTTGCCTCAGTGATGCTGGTCTCCTTAATCCCAACTGATTTTTCAGCCCCAGCTAACCAACATCCATTATTCCAGTACAACAAAGGTTTCAGTTCAGAGCTGCTAGTCTCTTGTTAATCACAGCAGATTCTTCAGCCCCAGCTGACCAAAAACCACAGATTCTCAATTCAAAATACACAGACAGCCCTAATCTCTGCTTCTCTTGTAACTTGACAGGGCAGGCCTCCACATCTTCACATCTTTCAGCATTATCTTCCAAGTTCCTACTGAACGGTTCACTGAGCTTTAAGCACTTTTCTGCAAAGCTACAAACACTTCCACAGTCCTCCCAGACACACACTGTCAGGTCCATCACAGCAATATCCTGCTCTCTGGTACCCATTTCTGTCCTAGTTTGTATTCTTTTGCTGTGATTAAAAATACTGGCCAAAACCAACTTGGGGAAGAAAGGGTTCACTTCACCTTCGGTCCACAGTTCATCATGGAGCGAAGCCAAAGCAGGAACTCAGGGCAGGAACCAAAGTACAGACCCATGGAGGAGTGCTCCCACTGGCTTGCTCCCCTGGCTTGTGCTCAGCCTACTTTCTTATTCAGTAAACACAGGCCCACCTACCCAGGGGTGGTACCATCCACAGTGGGCTGGGCCCTCCCACAGTCTTAAGAGTCTTAGGGAGACTGAATGATGCAATAATGATACTGTAACAAGTATTGTTAGAATAGATGTATATATAAAGTCCAGACATTGTTACTGAGTAAAAAAAGCCAATTCCCCCAAATCATGTATTGTATTGCTACTAGTGGTTGGAGCCCGAGTCAGTGTTTACAGGTTCTTGGCTTCCTATCCAAACTGTCCAAAGAACTAAGGATGAGGGCTCATACGGATTTACAAAAGAAGCAAAAGAATTCTATTTGGAGCAAAATGATAGTATAGATTACAGAGGGCTACACTGTCAAGATTGATAATAGGCCACATGAGTGACAGTATTCAGGGACTCCTGGCCGCAGCCTGGGGTCTCTCCATAGAGTCTAAAGGAAGGAGGGGCTAGTTACTAAGGAGTATAGTTTGGGTGGTTCTCTGTTTTGGTTGATAGATTAGGTCATACATTCACTTTTCTTACTGTACATGTCCCTTCTTACAATGCATCTGATTTTAATCAATTATGCATAAGCATAACATGGCAATGAGGGATTCTCCCTAAAAGGTTATTGGAAGATACAGTTTTGCCTTACCGTGCAGGCACCCCAAACCAGTTCAGGCTGGATTAGCGTTCCTTTTCTCCATAGAGCTATGTCCTGAGTACAGTTGAAGAGAAACTAATTTTGATTGTTACCAGGGATGAAGAAGTCATTGTTTGGGCTTGGAAATCCATGTAGCCCAGTGCAGGGGTTCTGAGGTTGTAGGTGTATTGTTTGGGGGTGGGGGGTTGCATAATATGTGCAGGTGAGGGAGCTAGGCTGCCAAGTGCATTATTACAAGAGGGGAATATGCATTACCCCAAACCACTTGGTCCCAAGCCAAACTGCCTCCTCTGCTTGCCTTGGTATGATTCCACTTGCATAACATTCTTGAACGGAAAAAGTTACAGAGATGAATTGGTCAGTGGTTGCCAAAGGTTAAGGAGGGGGTGAAGATGATAGAAATGTTCTCTTTCTTGACTGCTTCAATGTTGATGTCTTCGTGATACTGTTCTTGTTTTAAAGATGGAAAGTTAGGTGAAGGTATATGGGATCTCTCTGTATTATTTCTTACATCTCTGCAAATAGTTTAAGAAAATAAAGAAAAGCATAGTTCTGTAGGCTTGCCTAGTATTGCACAAAGCCCTGGGTGCAGTCCCCAACACCAAATAACCTGGGTGTGATAGTGCACACCTGTAATCCCTGCACTGAGGAGGTAGAAGCAGGAGACTCAGGAGTTCAATGTATTTCTTGGCTACTTGGCAAGTTTGGAACTAATTTAAGGACCCTAATCTCAAAGAGACCCTAATCTCAAAAAAATAAAAAATAAACTAGCTGGGTGTGGTGGTACACACCTTTAATCCCAGCACTTTGGGAGGCAGAGGTAGGTGGGTCTCTGAAATGGAGGCCAGCTTGGTCTCCATAGTAAGTTCCAGGCCAGCTGCAGCTACAGGGAGACCCAGTCTCAAAAAAGACTAAATGAATGAGTAAATATAAATAAGTAAAAAATAAATCAGGAAGAGAGTAAAGTTTTACAAAATATGCATTCACAGAGCTCCACATTGACAATTGAATGGATCTGGGTAATTCTGGGAATCTGTTTTTTCAGTTTCTTGGGTGATAGCAGTTCTTAGCCAGGTTGGAAGTCAGGGTGGATATAACTATGTTTTGTTTATTTATTTTAGTTTTTGGAGAAAGGGTCTCCCTGTAGCCCCAGCTGGCCTGGAGCTTGCTATGATCAGGCTGGCCTTGATCTCACAGAGATCTGCCTGCCTTTGCCTCCCGAGCATTTGGGACTAAAGGCGTGGACCACCAGGCCCGGCTGGACATAATTACAGACCCAGGTGTGTCACCTCACTATTTTCCTCTCCTGTATGTGTATCAGGATGGGAATATGAAGATAATCGTGAGCTTCAAATTGTGAATTGCAAACCATATTCATCTCAAATAAGAAATTACTATATCAGAACTGTAATCATTTTGGGTTTGGGTTGTATGTGATTTTGTTTGTTTTAAACAGGATCTCACTATGTAGCCCAGGCTAGCCTTGAACTCATGGGCCTCCTGCCTTGGCTTCTTCAGTTCTGGGGTTACAGGTGTGTGCCACCACATCCAACTTTTTCCTTTCTTTAAATCAAACAATGTTTTAGGAGTTTTTCCAAAACTGGAGTGAAGCCGATTCACCTCCAAAATGCAGGGGACATGCATCAAGAATTTACATACAGTTTCAGTTTTTAAAGATTTATTTTACTTTTATTCATGTGTATATGTGTGTCTGCTATGTGTATGCGGGTGTCTAAGAAGACTAGATAAGGATGTTGGATTCCCTTGAGCTGAGTTACAGGTGGTTGTGAGCCACTGATGTGGGTGCTAGGAACTGAACTCCAGACCTCTGTAAGAGCAGGAAATGTTCTTAACCACTGAACCATCTCTCCAGCCTAAACCTTTTATGTCTTGATCACTTCCCGCCCCCCTTCCATCTATTCATTTTCTGTGACTGCTTTTTCAACTGTAATGTTAAACTTCTGGTGCAATATAGTTGTAACAAATACATTGATTTTTCAGAAAGAATGTCTATGGCTTTCTGTGGAGTGATTCCAGTTAGTTTTAGAAACTCCTCTATCTGGGCATCAAATGATTGCAGTTTCCTGATTTTATTTTATTTTTAAGATCAAGAAGATATTTGGGGTGCTAGAGAGATGGCTCAGTGGTTAAGAACACTGACTGTTCTTGCAGAAGACCCCAGTTCAAATCCCAGCACCCACATGGCAGCTAACAACTGTCTGTAACTCCAGTTCCAGGGAATCTGACAGCCTTTTCTGTCCTCCTTGGGCATTGCACGACACAGGTGCACTTACCTACATGTAGGCAATATACTCATACACATAATAAAAAAAATAATAAATAATTTTTTTAAGAAGATATTTGGTTTTGGTTCAGTAAACTTACTCTGTGTACTTAGTTTTACATTAGTGGTTATTGGCACTCTAAGATCTGTCCATCTTTTATTCTCTTTGTGAACAGCTGTCCGTGGACACCCTACAGTTTCTGCTCTTCTTATATATACAGCAGTTAAACAAAATCTCACTGAGGACATCTTTGATTGGAGAAGAGTGGCCTAGTCCCAGAAACAGATCTCAGTCTCCTGACCTGACTGAAAGGTCCAGTTGTCATAATAAGGTATTGCTTATATCTTGTACTCTTTCTGTGAAAGGGGTAATTTGGAGAAGGTGGTTCACCTTCATTAAGTATTATGTTAGAAAACTGGAGAGATGACTCAGTGGTTAAGATAATTGATTGCTTTTGCAGTGGACCCAGGTTTGGTTTCCAGCCCTGCACGCTGGCTAACAACCATCTGTAACTCCAGCTTCAGGTGATCCAACACCTCCTAGCCTCCTTAGGCATTGCATGCACAGATGCACTTCCATACATGCAGGAAAACCATTCATACACATATAATAAAAATAAATAAAATTTTAAATTTACGTTGGAATGAAGCCAAGTATAGTAGTGCATGCCTGTAACTCTAGCTCTTGGAGGCTGAGGCAGGATGATTATGAGTGCTAACATGGACTGTCTCAAAAACAAATTTTTTTTCTTGAATAATTTTATATGCTTTTCAACCTGTCTTACATACTTGTCACACATAACACGTCTTAGAAAAGGCCTTACTTCCTTTTCTAATTGTAAAGGAAAATAAATATTTTGTATCAGATTTTTTTAAGTATTTTGAAAAACTTTAAAATGTAAGCCACAGTACCATATACAGGTTCTTTTATTTTAATTTTTGCTAGAATTATTTATTTGGGAGGGGTTGTGGACTTGTCATAAGTAGGTGTGTGTGTGTGTGTGTGTGTGTGTGTGTGTGTGTGTGTTTAGGTCAGAAGACAACTTGTAGGAGGTGAGGTGATTCTCCTCTTCTTCCATGTGGGTCTGTTATCAGAAATCTGTGACATTTTTCATTTTTAAGATATAGACTAGAGACATAACTACCAGCATCAATCAAGAATTTATTCAAGGGGCTGGAGTGACAGCTCAGCAGTTAAGAGCAGCTGTTGCAGAGGACTGGGGTTTAGTCCAGAAGATCCAACACCCTCTTGTAGTCTCCACACAGGGGTGCACTTACATGCATGGAGGCAAAACACTGACAAATGTAAAATAAAGATAAATATAATATTTTTAAAAAAGAATTTTTTCAAACAGCACCCCACCGTGGTTTTCCCCTCAAACTGAGTTCTCATGCATGATCATAGAACACCCTTGCATGTCTCTGTAACAGGTTTTATGTCACTGTGTTGTGTATGTGTATCTCTGCTGTCTTCTTACCATATCAACTCCTGAATTCCTTGAGGACAGAAGAGTCCAATGTAGTTTGCATATTTATCATTTAACATTATTCAGGCCAAATCATAGGCACTCAGAAAATCACTAGGATGTCTGCCAACTCAAACCTTATTTCCCAGTTTGTAATCTCTCTTAAATCTAGTCATTGTAAAATTGTTTTATCAGCCAAATTAGAAATTGCTTCTCTAACTAGAAACCCAGTGCTTCACTGAATGAATGCCTACTATACTTCTTTTTTAAGTTTAATTAGATTTCAGTCACAATACAGGCACACTAAAAATATTGCAAATAATTACCTTCTGATTGTCTGTATAAAGTGTATATGAGTCATAACTGAATTCCATGTTTAGATTTGGCCCTATCCTCAAGATAACTCCTTGCATAAATGAAAATTTTGCAGAATCTGAAAAACTCCAAAAACAATTCTGGCCTCAAACATTTCAGACAGGGATCTTTGACCTGTATTGCTTTTGAATTAGTTTATAAATATCACATACACAAAAATCACATAATATAGCTACCTAAATTATTTTGAGGGGATGACACAGCATATACATGCAAAATAATTAAAATATAAAAATTTTATATCTTACAGAATCCCATTGTTCTGGTAAGAGTGTTTTGTTTGTTTGTTTGTTTTAGAATTGGAATGACTGCCGTCACCAGGCTTTTGTCTACGATCATCTTTCAGATCTCCTTGAGTTGCTTTTAGATCCAGAACAGCTCACAACATCCTTTCATTCAACCCGTAGTAGCCTACTCTCTCAGGAAGCTGTGGTGGCACTCAGCTTTCTAATTGAAGGCACTGTCAGTAGAGCCAGGAAGGTCTATCCCCTTCATGAACTCGCACTGTGGCAACCACTGCATGCAGAAAGTGGCTTCTCAAAGATCTCTAGGACTTTCTCTTTCTCCAAGCTGGAAGCCTGGTTGAGAGCCTGCTTGACTGGGAATCCGTTTGGTCCATCTGCTTGCCTCAAATCTGGAAAGAAATTGGCTTGGGCTCACCAAGGTATTTTTTTTTAAGTATTTTAACCTATATTAAATTGAATGAAAGAAACTTAGTGTTTCCTGGTGTATTGATGGTCAGATGTCTTCTAGCCTGGTGCAGTAACATATCTATAATCTTTAGTACTTAGAAGACTGAGGCAGAAGGATTGCAAGTTCAAGGGCAAATTGGGCTATACAGTGAAATCCTTTCTCAAAAAAACAATTGATTGACTAAGTAAAAAATGCCACTAATATAAAAATATCAGTCTTTTGTACTTGACTTGAATGCAGCAGTGATCTCAGAATTGACTCAGAATTCTTTGGTTATAGTCCACTGGAACACTACAGTTAACCCTCTCTGCTGCACTTGTCTCTGATGCTCTCCCTGTCATTGTCATGTGCTCACTTGCTTGGGGTTTTTTTATTTTCCACACAAAAGCAGAATTTGGCCAACCAATAGAAATAACCTCAGAGGGGTTGGAGAGATGGCTCAGTGGTTAAGAGCACTGGCTGCTCTTGCAGAGGACCCAGGTTTGATTCCTAGCACCCACATGGTGGCTAACAGTCATCTGTAACTCCAGTTCCAGGGGATCTGACAACCTCTTCTGACCTCCATGGGCATTGTACCACATGGGTGCACTTACCTACATGCAAGCAATACACTCATATACATAAAATCAATCAATCAATAAATAAATAAAATATATTTTAAAAGAAATAGGTTCATAGTTGGTTTAAAGATAAGGTCTTTTTTTTTTTTTTTAATATGTATGAGTATATTGCCTATGTGTATATAAGTACAGCTGTGTCATGCAGTGCCCACAGAGGCCAGAAGAGGGTGTTGGAGCCCCTGGAACTGGAGTTACAGATGGTTATTAGCCACCATGTGGTTGCTGGAAATCAAACCTGGGTCCTTTACAAAAGCAGCCAGTGCTCTTAACTGCTGAGCCATCTCTCCAGCCCCAAGGTCATATTTTTAAAGCTGCATAAACAGAAGCAAGGAATATATATTTCTAAATTAGAAATCAGAAATCATGATTACAATAGAAAGAATCTGCCATTCTCTGATTCAGATATCTATTCCTGATTAAATGGATAGGTTCTGGTGTTGTTGTGCCCATGTATAAATTTTAAGAGAAAGACTAGGGAAATAGCTATATAGATACCTATATTATTGAGGTAAGTGCCAGGCCAAGTAAAAAAAAAGTCAGGCTATGTTTCCACAATCTCTGAATTTTAAATATAGACCAAAAAAAAAAAAAATCCATATATGTGTTAAAAAACAATTTAGTCTTTTTTCAGGTTTTTTAGGGAGTGCTAGAGGACTAAACCTAGGGCCTCATGCATCCTAAGTTGCACTCTGCAACTGAAGAGCACCTCCAGAAAGTAACACTAAAACCCAGAAAATGGTTGACCATCAGCTATAGAATTTGGAGTTTAAAAATATAATCCAGGAAGTCTGTATCCAACCAAGCTATTCTGTAAAGTCAGACTCCTGCAAAGATTTAAGGATCCCATAAATATGTAAGTTATACTGGATAGTTCTTTATGTTCATAAAAAGTTAGGCTTCAGTTTTGGTTTTTTTTAATATTTTGTTTTGTGTGTATGAGTGTATTGTCTGCATGTACGCGAGTGCACCCGTGCAATGCCTCGGAAGTCAGAAGAGGGCGTCGGATTCCCCTGGAACTGGAAATAAGGATTGTTCTTAGGTGCCATGTAGGTACTGGGAATCGAACCTGGGTCCTCTGCAAGAGCAGTCAGGGCTCTTCACTACTGAGCCATCTCTCTAGCCCCAGGCTTCAGTTTTTTAACCTTGATAGAGTAGGTACTAATAGGAAAAAAAGAATATCCAACCTCTAAAGATTACGTTAAAATGTTACCAGAGAGAGTGGGATAATAAATTATTTTTAATCTGTTTTTTTACTATTGTTTTTCTACAATAGTCATGTATTTATGTATATTGTATATGTGCAATTAAAAAAATAATTCTTTGGGGGCTGGAGAGATGGCTCAGTGGTTAATAGCACTGATTGCTCTTCCAGAGGACCCGGGTTCGTTTCCCAGCACCCACGTGGTGGCTAACAACCATTCATAACTCCAGTTCCAGGGGATCCATTGCCCTCTTCTGGCCTCTGTGGGCTTTGCAGAACACAGGTGTACTTGTATACATGCAGGCAGAATACCCATATACATCAAAAAATAATTCTTTTATCCTGGCATGGTGGTACATGCCTTTAATCCCAGCAGTCAGGAGGCAGAGGCAGGAGGATGTCTATGAGATCAAGGCCAGCCTGGTCTACATAGTAAGGTCATACAAGCTGGAGCTGCAGGGAGATCCTGACCCCAAAAAAATTTTTTTAAAGAAGAATGATAGCATATTTATGTATCCTTTCCACTTTCAACCAGTATTGATTACAGAGGATCTCCATGACTTGCAGGGACATTCAGGCTGAGAACCAAGTCACATACTGTTGGGACTGTGTTAGGAAGAAAGTTGCATGTATTTGTGTTATCACTTTGTGTAAGATCTGTGAGGGAAGACGCACTCTCAAATAATGGCCTTGGGGGTAAGACTTGAACTCAAGTAGACTTGATGTGAGGATGCTGGTAGTAAATTAGGAGGGGTATAGAATTACTATTATAGGCATTTGGGGGATTAATTATGATTGGGTTGATAAAGTACAGCATCCTGGAAGAAAAGCTGTTTGAATCTGTCATTTACTAGCTTATGACTTCAGGCACATTACTTAACTTAAAAGGCAGACAAAAAAAAATCTTAGGTGTATTAGAAATCTTGAATGTACTATAGTTTCGAAATTTTTTTAATAATAATTTTGAAAATTATAAATACACATAAAAGAATGATAAACACTTCTTTGTGCACTGCTTATTCTAATATAGTTGCCTTACATGTTTCAAAGTTTAGACTTGGCACATGTAGACATGTGTAATCTCATATGATTATTTGTTTTTCTTTGATTTGAACTGTCTTTTTTTTTTGAACTATCTTATTTATGTTTTCTTAAATAGTGGAAGGTACGACCAAACGAGCAAAGATTGCTTGTAATGCTCATGTGGCCCCTAGGCTGCACCGTATGGTGCTGATGAGCCAGGTCTACAAGCAGACACTGGCCAAGAGCTCAGACACTCTGGTGAGAGCACACGTCAGGATTCATCGCTGCAACGAATCTTTTATATATCTGCTCTCCCCCTTACGGTAAGCACAGTCTCATGACATTCTGATTTTTTCTTTGAACTAGGCTTTTTTAAAAAAAATCAGAATATTGTTTAGCTAACTACTTCCTATTTTCCTCACTTAAAATTATTTTTCAGCTCTGTGACAGTTGAAAAGTGCAGGAATAGCACCTTTGTCTTGGGCCCTGTGGAGACGTCTCTTCACATCCATGACTGTGACAATGTAAAAGTCATTGCTGTCTGCCATCGATTGTCCATCTCTTCTACAACAAGTTGCACTTTCCACATTCTGACACCTTCACACCCACTTATTCTCTCTGGAAACCAGAGAGTCACTTTTGCTCCCTTTCACACCCATTACCCAATGCTAGAGGACCATATGGCCAGGAGTGGCCTTGCTACAGTGCCTAACTATTGGGATAACCCAGTGGTTGTGTGCAGAGAAAGCGGCAACACAAGGGTCTTCCGGCTTTTACCACCCTGTGAGTTCTACATATTTATTATTCCTTTTGAAATGGAAGGGGACACAGCAGAGATTCCTGGTGGTCTTCCATCTGCTTATCAGGAAGCACTGGCTCAAAGAGAGCAGAACTTACAGAGCTGGCAGAAAACTGTGAAGGAGGCTCACTTGACAAAGTAAGTGTTTTTGAGAATTAATGTTTGCTTTTTATGTGAAACTTGATGGGAAGACAAATTAATCTGCATCTGCTTATAGCTGTGCCGACCAAAGTAATTTAAACAATATAGTGCATCTTGTGTTAAGGCTTACATTTCAAGTTAGTATTCTAGGCACTGTGTATTGGAGGATATGAATGAGTGGGTCCTCGTGTATTAGATTCTCTTCTTTCAAGAACTTCAAGTTGTTCTGGGATGTTGGCACATCCTGCAAGCACAGCATGGAAAAACTTGAGGCAGGGGGATCACAAATTCAAGGTTAGTGAGAGCTACATGGTGAGACCCTGCTTCAAAATAAAAATAAGCTTAAATCTACTGGGCAGAGGTAAGACTAAAACATTGCATTAGTTAATGAGGTATTATAAAGGATATGGCACATAATTCAACCCTAAATGAATGAATATTAACTTTTTTTTCCCCATGATACTAGTGATTCTCAGACTTGGTTGTGCATCAGACTCCTCTAAGAGCCTTGTTTAAAATACAGATTTCCCTGGTTCCTACCACACCAAAGACTTACTAAGCCACATTCTTAAAGGGTATTTTCCTAAGGCTGATACATGGATTATTGCCAGTTACTGTCAAAGTTTTCCTTAATATATGGTAAAATGGAAGAAACAATCAGTGTTTTAAAATAAAGCTATATTTACATATTTACACAATGTAAAATACTGTGCTTCATTCTACTTTGGAGGGGACTGAAATATAGCTTATTTTAGTTACATGTTTAGATAGCTGTGGTATTATGTTATGCCTAAAGTTCTATTTCAGAGGTGCTGGTCTTTGAACTCCAAAAGCCAGAGACATGCCATGCAGTTAATAGAGATTCAGAAGATGCCATGTAAATAGCCAAGGAAGGCATGCAGAGAACGTAGAATTTGTAATGGGTCTTGAAGAATGAGATGCTTAGATAGTAAGTGAGGACTGACTAGTCCAAATGAAAAACAGTGGAGGAGAAGATGTCTTGGAAGCAGAAGCTAAGGCAGGATTCTGGGTGTAGAATAGTGGTATTTAAGCTTGCTGAGTCAATTGAATCAGGTTATGTTACAGCTTAAATATGAGGCAGTGATAGTTACATTAGAATTAAGTAGTAGAAGCCTTTAAACAATGGAAATATGGACAGAAAGAAAAGCAATTCATTTATTCAGGAACATTTATAGGATGCCAAAACATACACTACTTTGTTAGAAGCTATGATGTTGAAAACATGTAAAGCAGTGTGACCGGCACACAGGAAAATTAGAAAGGGAACTGAAAGAGAGCAGGGCAGTGTTCCAATAGTCTCACTAAGAGTAGCTGGAATAGAGTGGAAGAAGGAGAAATGGAGAAATACTTTGATAGGAGGCAGGGCTCAGTGCATAATTTTGTAGAGACAAGAAAGTAAAAGATGATTTTTAATTGGATCTCGGCATAGAAATTATTTTTCTAAGAAAAATTTTATTAACCGATATTCTTCTGCACAAACTACTATGTACAACTTAAAATGAACAGATTCTCAGAGTCAATAACCATTGTTTATTCAAATAATTTGATGTACAGATCTTATTTGTTAGTGATCTTAGGAGAGGAAAATGGGAAATATTGCAGTGGCTTCTTCTGAATCTTGTCTGTTTGAGCACAGGGCACAAGTTCTTTTTGGAAATCTGTGTGAGCAGTAAAAGTCTTTATCATATGTTGACTCTTCTTCCATTTCCCTGCAAATTTTGTGATTTCAGTTTTTTTTAGAGCTGAATGATAATTCCATTTTATATATGTACCAGATTCTCGTTATTTGTTTATCTGTTGATGGACAACTAGGTTGGTTACGTTTCCTTGTGATGGTGAATAGAGCAGCAGTAAACACAGAGGGCAAATATCTGTACATAATCACAGGTAGAGAAGTGAAAGAGCTGAGAGAATAAGTACTTTACTCAGGGTTACAGAGGAGCTGCAGTTCACACCTTGTTAGCCGTGCTGCAGTACAGTAATAAAAACGTAAAATAAATGTTTCTTGAAAAAGGTCCCTTTAAAACACTTGTTGTCAATAGGGAATAGGGACACAGACCACTCTTGCTTCTTCAGAGGATGGTGTGATAAGAATAGGAGATAGGAATTAGCTAGGCAGTTAGAGTAAAAAGACCCCAAAGAAAAATAGCCAGTTTCTTGGCTAAAAGTCAAAATGTTCTTGAGACTGTTAACAACATACTTTGTTCCAAAGGCCAAAAATGTCGAAAGTATTTGGGAGCTTTCATCTAATCCTTAAAAGATTTTAGGGTTACCTCTTCAGAGGGGGGAATATTTGAGTACCCCAAAGCCCCATAAAAATAAATAAATGAAAGAAGAGAAGAAAAAAAAAAGAAAAAAGTGATGGGGAGATATGGGAGGTGTTGGAGGGGAGGGAGTGGGCATGGATTTGATCAAAGCACCTTATATGCATGTGTGAAATTCTCAATAAAGTTTTTATAAAAGTTAAAAAAACACTTGTGTTCTATTATTTAAATGCCTAGATTGTCTTACACATGTAAAAAGATTATAATTTGTAGAGTCCAGAATATGCTAAGCACTTAAAAAATACTGACTCCCCCCAAATCTTGTTTCAATCTGATAGCCACAATGGTTCTTCTTAGAAACAATCAAAGAGTAGTGCAACTTTGGGAATATAGATGTGGCTCAGCTTACACCAGGGTTACATCAGTCAAAGAACCGCCCCTGTCAGATTGGCCTGTTGGCATGTCTGTAGAAAATTGTCTTGATTGATGATTGATGTGGGAGAGCCCAGCCCACTGTGGGCAGCACCATGCCTAGGCAGGTGGGCCTGGGCTATACAAAAAAAAAAATGAGCTGGGCAAGCCAGAGGGATCCAGCTAATAAGCAGTGTTCCTCCATGGTTTCTGCTTCAGTTCCTGCTTAGCTCCTGCCCTTACTTCTCTCAGTGATGAACTGTGACCCAGAAGCACAAGCCAAATAAACCCTTTCCTCCTCAAGCTGCTTTTGATTAGAATGTTTTATTATAGCAACAGTAAGTAACTTGAACACATCCAGATCAAAACTCATTTTAAGTTGAGAATATCGGAAGCTGAAAGTTCATTTAGTATACCTGACCTACTGAACTGATACCATAGTGCAGGAACACTGTGCACTGTAGAATAGTCTACCTTGTGATGGTGTGTCTAGCAGCCATTGCCCAGCTAATTAGAAAAGAATATTATATTACATATTACTAGCCCAAGAAAATATCAAAATTCAAAATACAGTGTTTTACTGAGCACCCATACTTCATAGTTGTGCTGTCATCAAGTTGAAGTCATTAAGTCTAGACATAGTTGGGAAGGTTCAGTAGGAAGACAGAATCCAGACTACAAACAAACTGATGTGATCCTTTAAAAAGTGATTAGATCATTGTCCTTTCCCTGTTTTGACCCCCTTTAATGTCTTTCCATCAAACTTGCTAAAATCGAAAGCCTTGACCCCTCCCTACCAGCTTTCCGCCATTCTTTCTCTCCCTCGCACCTATCTACCATATAGGAGTCTTCTTGCTATTACTTAGACATTGCCCTCTGCCCAAGACCGTCAGGAACAAATCTGATTTGTAGAACCAGGAGAGAGTATAATAACTCAGTCCAAGGTGGCAGAAATTACCTTTCATCTTGGTGAAGGTTGATGTACTGGTTTTCTTTCTGTTGCTATGATGAAACACTCTGACCAGAACCAACTTGGGAAGGAAAGGGCTTATTCTGAAAGAGTTTGTTTCAGCTTACAGTTCAGTCCTTCATTGAGTAAAGCTAGGGCAGGAACTGAATTAAAAGGTACGGAGGAAAACCGCTTATTGGCTTGCTTCTCTGGCCTGTGCTCAACCTGTTTTCTTAGACAACCCAGGACCACCTGCCCAGGGGTGGCACCACCCACAATGGGCTGGGCCCTCCCACATCACTCAACAATCAAGAAATGCCTCAGAGACATGTCCACGGGCCAACCTGGTAAAGGAAATTCCTCAGCTGAGGTTCTGAACCTCTTCTCAAGTGTGTCAAGTTGACGACTGAGGCTAAACAGCACAGTTGGGGAACATGGGGCAACTTTTTCAATGAAAAGGAATAAAAACAACTTATAATTGGGGTCTGGCTCACATGATAAAATTTTGGGAGAGTTCTAGGAAGCAAGGCTTTGGTACAGATTGAATGCTATTTGGAAGTGAAAGTAACTTTGTGATTGGTAGCTTAGTTTTTATCTCTAAAATGGGGTGGGATGCAGTAAAACTAAAATGATAAAAGCAGTCACTCGTCCAGGAGAGAAGCATTGTTGGTCATTCTTGTGGTCTGCACATTTATTTTACCTCTAGACTAAAGTGGGAGTGTTCTTTTTGGTCTATCATCATTCCAGAATTATTGATGAATTATTGTGTCCAGCAGAAGCACAGCATAGCCAGGCCAAATTGTAGCCATCCCAGGCTTGGCTGACAGTGCTAATCTGCTCCTAGCTATGAGGAGCTGCTCTTTTCCCTGTGCTAACACCTTAAACATGCTGTCACATTAGTGCCTTTGTCGTCTCTGCTTCTGCCTGGCAGTCCTTCCGTAGAGTCGGTTTGCTGCTCCCACCATCTTGTGCAGACCTGCTCTTTTCTAAAACAGCATTCCCAGCACTCTTATACTCTCATGTGATGCTGTTTCTCCACATAGTTTTCTTATAGTTAACTCTAATATATTTTACTTCCTACCTATCCTCCCTACAAGAGCGTATAGTCAACAGGGACTAGACACACGGATCACAGTGTGAAGGCACCCTGTGGAGTCCTGTAGCTACCAGCCTGCCTCAGCAGCGGCTTTATCCCTTTACACTTATTTCCATCATTCAGAACACCTTGCAGCATTTATTGGTCCTCAGTAAGAATGACATTGACATGTCTTTACACTTTTCTGACCACTTTTTAAAACTGGTCTGATCTATTCTGAACACAATGAGAATGGAAGGATAGTTAGAAACAATCATTTAACATTATCATGTTGAAATTTTAAGTAATCACTTGGAGTAAAACTGTTGAAGTTCATTTTCTTAAATTCTTGTTGCTCTCCATTACAACTTTAGGGATAAGAGGAAGCAGTTCCAGGTACTTGTGGAGAACAAGTTTTATGAATGGTTGATTAATACAGGACATCGCCAACAGCTGGACAGCCTTGTTCCCCCTGCAGCGGGCTCCAGACAAGCAGCAGGCTAGGACTCCTGTGTCAGCTCGCTGGTAGGCGGTTATAATGCACACTGCTTAAAAGGAATTCTTTGGGGGAAATCATGCATGTGTAAAAAAAGAAAGAAAAGCATAGTATGTTCATCTTGCAAATTTCTTCCACTACTCCCACCAGCCTACATCCACGTATTTACCATATTTTATGATAACAAACCTAAAGTTCAAATGGAACCTATAGAAATCTGGACAAATATTTTTTTCTCCTTATTTTTCTTTGTTTTTGCTGTTGTTGCTTTGTCTGCTTAAAGATTTGTTTTCCTGGGGCTGGAGAGATGGCTCAGTGGTTAAGAGTACTGACTGCTCTTACAGACGATTTAGGTTCGAGTCTCAGCACCCACATAGTGGCTAACAACTGTCCATAACTCTAGTTCCAGGGAATCCGACACCCTCTTCTGGCCTCCACGGGCATTGCATGACATGGGTGCACTTACACAATACACATAAAATAAAAATAATAAAAAATAAAATGTTTTTTAAAAAAGATCTATTTTACTTTTAATTATGCATTTGTTGGTGGGGAGCTAGGGTGTTATAGGCAGTTGTGAACCACTTGATGTGTGTGCTGGGAATTGAACTCTGGTCCTCTGGAAGAGCAATACATGCTTCAGCCCAAGCTTTATTTTATTTCTCCTTTCTATCATGTCTTTTTCTTATCCCTAGAACTTTTTAATAAAGCTGGTCTTTATTAATCACACATTGAGTTATTAACAAGTTAGCTAGACTTAATCCATATGAATGTTTTACTACAGAACACTTGAAGAAAATCATGAATTAAATAAGTAGATGAAAACATGGATAGAGTTAAATTTACTGTGGATTATTTAATCCAAGTACTTAAACTTTTTTTTACTTTTATTTTATGTCTATGAGTGTTTTGCCCATGTGTGCTCATGCATACAGTATTCAAGAAGGCCAGAAGAGGGCATCAGAGTCTCTGGAACTGGAGTTATACATGGTTATTAGCCACCATATGGGTGCTAGGAACGGAACCCAGGTCTTCTGCAGTGCTCTTAACTGCTGAGCCATCTTTCAAGCCCCAAACTAATTAGTTTGAAAATAGAAATTGATTTGGTGCTTTCAAGTATTTTTAAAGACTAAAAGTGGGTAAAGAAACAGGACATGAATAGGTAGTTCACAGAGAAAAACACAGAGACAGGGATGCTCACTTAAAAATTAAGAAATGAGCTGGGAGTGGTGGCACATGTGGAACAGAGGCAGGCTTAAGTCCAGCCTGGTCTATGTAGTGAGTTCCAGCCAGCTGGGGCTACAGGGAGACCCTCCTCAAAAAGACTAAAAACCCAAAACCAAACAAACAAACAAACAAAAAATCAAGAAATAGGGGCTAGAGAAATGGCTCAATGGGTAAAGGCACTTGCCTTTCAAGCCTGACAACCTGAGTTTGATCCCTGGAACCCACATAAAGGTGAAAGGAGAGAAGCATCTCCACAGAGTTGTCCTCTGACTTCACAGGCACACTGTGGCACACAGCACCCCCCTCCCATGTATAATGCATACACATGATAATAAATAAATTATGAGGATGTCAGGGTATTGTACTCTACACCTGTGTTCTGAGCACTAGAGAGGCTGAGGTAGGATGGTTGATGCAAGTTTGAGGGCAGCCTGTGCTATGTACTAAGACCCTGCTTCAAAAAGACCATAAAAAGAAAAATAATAATAAATTAATGTGACAACAAGTTGACTTCGCTCATGAAATGTCTAAGATCATCATTGTTTTAGATTTCACATTTTAAGATTCTGGATAATTTGGACAAATTGACCTGACATTCAAATGCTTCAAAGTGGAAGAGGGGGCAGAAAGAATGTAAGAGCCAGAGGATGGTGAGTTGTGCAGCAAAACATCCTCTGGCCATGACACACTGTCACATTGATGAACTCACTGCACCTGTGGTTACCTTCATAAGACCTGCCTGAGATTGAGCCTATCACCAATCATTATGATGGGGGAGGGGCCTGTGAGGCCCCACCCCTCCCTCAGTGTCTACTGGCAGTTAATGGTTGTTGAGGGAGGAGAGTCAGTGTCTTCAGTGGTATAGCCACTGGTAAGTTGCTTTGCTCCAATAAATAACCTCCCCCTCCAAAACAAGACTGTCCTGCAGAACTTTGGAACATTAGGTGGTAAAATTGGGTATTGGGTCACCAATTTAGATATTATTCCCACAGTGCAGCATATTCAACCTTAGGGGGACACACATGACTTTAAGCGATTTATGGATTCATATTTTATATTTTAATGCCATATTCATTAGGGAAGTTTCCTTCTATATATTTAGTGTGTCCTAAGAACTTGCCCAAAGACGTACGTATTGTCTCCCTCATTTGTGGATCCTAGAACCAAATCTTTGGGAGTCCATATCCTGATGTAACTGCAGGAACAAGGAGAATGGAAGGGAACCAGGGAGGTGAAGGGAAAGAAGGAACTCGAGAGAGAAGAATAGTAGGAAACAGGTGTTACTAAGGGAGAAATGTGTAAAAAGAGGGTTGTTAAATGGGAGGGGAAGAAGGAGGGCTGTACAAGGAAATATGGAAATAAAGGGGAAGAACTCAAGAGCGGTGGGACCATAGCAGACAGAAATTATGAAGGGAGAAATGGAGAAAATGGGGACACTTTAAATGGGGAGGGTGGGGAGGGAGGATAAGACAGGGAGAGAAAGGAGAGATAAATAGTGCCTAGCTAGTATAAAAAAACCAAAGGGAATCGTATTAGTCCAAAAACCTACTGAAAAATTACACATGCAATATTTCTACATGAGTCCATGAGTATAGCTGAAAGCTATAACAAGAAACAGTGCAAGAGAGGAGAAACCTTCCTTTGAGTTGTTGACCAGGGAGGTCCAAGAGACTCCCAAAGTTACATAGGCTATTGCCACAGCCCTTGATTGCCTCCTGGAACTTGATGGTAAGACCCTACTGCTAAAGACAGGACATGCTTTGGACACAGGATTTGGAGTAACAGAGCTGGAGCTGACCTGGAAGCCACCTCCCCTGAAGGCTAGCTCTCACAGCTTTGGAGAGCACTACGCAAGTTGGTAAGGGAGAACATTAGTCGATGTTCTTCACGGCCCAGCATCAAAGCCTAAAAACCACAACAGTGACCAGCACAGCAAATGACATTGGTGCAGGACTGGCACTTTTATCTTGGGGGTAATCAACAGCTACCTAATTGGACTTAAAGCCCACTCAATGGAAGGAAAGTCACATGTGGTACTGTAAACCTAGCCAAATACACATAGCTGGAGAGGTCATAGATCCTAGAGAAAACTCCAAGGCTGTCTGTCATATCCCAAGACAAATGTAGTTTCTCACTATATGCAAAATATGGATCCTTAAATTTATAGACAAGTATCCCAGTCACCACCCATCAAAGAAGCTTCTTTTTCAAGAGACAGATAATTACAGAGTTCCACAACTGGTCACACACAGAGATTTTCTGTGAATTGCCCAAGCCTAAGTGACACATCTAGGATGCAATTTCTACACCTAAGGCTCATGGAACATAGAACAAGGGATGAAAGGAACACTAATGCATCTTTCAGTTCTCATCAATGAAGCTCCCTCATGTATCAGAGGGCCAAGAACGCAAAAGGTAACAAATGGCCAAAACACAGGGAATAAGAGTCTGCAGAGTGTGGATTCTTTGACTGGAGTCCTATATTAAAATCCACCCACCTGGGGCTCAGGGACCATTTCAGAAGAGGAGGCAGAAAGATTGTAAGAGCCAGGGAGGAGGTGCACAACCATATGGGAGTAGTCCTACAGGCTCCTGGGACTCTTCTCATATGGACCTACAGCAATGGTGTCGGCATGCACAAGACCCATGCAAACTTAAGCAGACGAAAACCCAGCACAGAACTGTGGAAATGAACAGCAGGTCCCAATCTTGGTTGAAGAATTATTGGCAACTGATTACTGTTGAGTTAGGAAGAGCTGATCTTCTTAAAGGGAGGGACTCTAGATAGGCTAAGTAGGTCCCAGTGGATGAACCTGCACTGAGGGACATCTGGGGACACTAACTTTACATGATAGGCCTTAACACAAATAACAGAATGTATGAACTCCTCCAGTGGGGGGCCTATGGGAGGGAGCCAAAAGGGAAGGGGGTATAAAGATGATTTTCTGTATGAAATACAGAAAAAATCAATAAAATAAAAGAACTTGCCAAGTGTGGTTGCACACGCCTTCAGTCCCACCTTCTGTGTTCCCTGCCTTGACTTCCTTCAATGATGGATTGTGAGTTGGACTGGCAGCTGTAAGATGAAAGAAACCCTTTCACCTAGGTTGCTTTTGGTCAGTATTTTATCACAGTAACAGAAACCAAACTGTAACAGTGGGATTTTCCCATTTATAATAGTTATATACCTAAAATTCTGAAAGGATGCAAAAAATGTATAGTTTTTGCCTTTCAGGAATAAGTCTGGGTATCTAAGGTAGGAGAAAGCTTAAGTTTTAGAGATATCAGAGGGATAATTCATCCCTCTGTTTGGGGCTTTTTCTCCAGCTCTCTTCTGGTGGTTCTGAGGATTGACCTAGAGCTTCATACATGCTAGGCAAGTGTCCCACCACTGAGCTACATCCTCAGTGTTCTCTTTCTTTGTGAGACCACGCTTTGCTAAGTTCCTCAGACTGGCCTTGAACTTACTCTGTAAACCAAGCAGACCTTGAACATGTAACTTCTTACTTCCCCCTCCCAGGTAGCTAGCATTATAGGTCTGTACTACCAGGCCTAACAAATCACCTTTCTAAGGTGAAGAATTCATTAGATTTTAGTGTATTCACAGATTTATGCAACTATCACCTTTTTAAAAACCATAATATTTTCATGACACCTAGTGAAAACCCATATGTGTGAGCAGTCATTTCCTACCCCTTCAACCCCTTTATCTTCTCTTGTCTCCAGCTCCTGGCAGCCAGTCCTTTGCTTTGTTTATTCTGAACATTTCATGTACATGGAATCAGTCACATTTATTTTAGCATTATGCTTTCAAGGTTCACACATGCTGTAGCATATATCAAGACTTGCTTTGTGGGGCTCTGGTTGTTCACTGATGGACATTAAGACTCTACTTTTCAGCTGCTATAAATAATGCTGTATATGCATTTGTTACAGGTTTTTATATCAGCATACACTTTCATTTCATATGGGTTTATACCTTGAGCAGGGTTGTAAGCTGCAAATAAAGAAAAAGTGTATATTCCTTTATTTGTTTTGTTCTTGAGACAGGGTCTTCCCGTGTAGCCCAGCCTGGTCTTGAACTTATGACAGTTCTTCTGCCTCAGTATCCTGAGACCTGGATATCCTGTGTCACCATGTCCAGGTATACTGTTCTTTTAAAAAATATTTAATTTTACAATATTTAGTCAATAAATGCTGAGTTAAGAATTAGAAACTTGACAGGCACAGTGGCAGAGGCAGGCAGATCTTTGTGAGATTGAGGTCATCCTGGTCTACATAATGAGTTTCAGGCCAGCTGTGGCTACAGGGAGACCCTGTCTCAAAAAGGCCAAGAAGGAAAAAAAAGAATTGGAAACTTGTTGGAGAGTGTACAGTTTAAGTTGGTCCCACCCAGTCTACCCTTCTTTGTGTATATATGAATTTTTTATTATATGATAGCTAACACCAAAAAAGAATATCAAGTTCATTTTGCCATTCTTAAGTGTCATGATCCTCATGATTTGTTAGTTTTCTTACTTGCATGAAACATGAAAATTAAGTTAGCAGCATTAATTTCTCTTTCATTATTTGCAGGGCTCTAAGAACATGAAGATGAAGGAGGACGGTGCCCATATTAAAGCTAAACTGGGACCGGGTGTGCTGGCACTTCCTATAATCCCAGCATTTGGGAGGCAGAGGCAAGTGGATCTCCATGAGCCTGGTCTGCAAAAAAAAGAAAGACAGAACACTAAATTGGGAAGGGACTTTGAGGCCTTTTATCTCCATTTATGACCATTTGTTGATTTCTATTCTCTTTGCATTTAGGCTGAATTTTAGCTACACTTCTGACTTGCCTATAAAAATAATGTTTATAGACTATCAAAAAAATGAAAAGTTGATGAAGGCAGTCTGTTATATGTGTATGTTAATATTTAAGTGATTGAGAACAGGTTTAAATACAGTTTATTTCTATTTTAATTTTCATGATGAAAGAGTTTTATCCTTTCTAGAGCTAATAAAAGAGTTGTATAGTCCTTTGTAACTAAGAAAAATTGATACTCCTTTTTTAAAAGAGAAGAAGTATGGTATTGTATAAATATAGCAGAGATGCTTTATAAAATGATATTTTAGTCCTTAAAGTATCAAACTTAATGCAATTGTATAAAAATTTTTTATTTTTCACCTTGTTTCAAATTTCAATAAAAAAACTAAAAAGAAATTTTGTCCTTTTGTTCAAAATGTAAGCTTTACTTTTAATAAAAGTTTTTTGTTATTTTGTGACTATCAAATTTAGACCTGACTGGGAAGCCCTCTTCTTTAAGGTAAAGGAACTTGATAACGTTAGTGAAATGAATCTAATCGTTGAATCAGGTTATGTCATATGCTCACTCCATTTAAAATTATAGTCTTGGGGGCTGGAGAGATGGCTCAGTGGTTAGGAACACTGGTTGCTCTTGCAGAAGACCCAGGTTCGAATCCTAGCACTCACATGGCAGCTAACAACTGTCTGTAACTCCAGTTCCAGGGGCTCCAACAGCCTCTTCTGACCTACGAGGGCATTGTACGACACAGATGTGCTTACCTACATGCAGGCAATACACGCATACACATAAAATCAAAATAATAAAATTTTAAAAATTATAGTTTCTAAAAATCAGCTACTCTTACACTTTAAAGTAAAAATTTAACCCTCTTAATGTTAATGCTAGTTGAAATTTTCATAGATTTTACTTTAAGATGAAATTCAGGTAAGCAGAGCATGACTAAATAAAGAACCACTGCAGTACCAGAAGTGTGCTTTGTTAATAAAGTTCACGGAATTTATCAGATACTTTTTAAAATATTTTATTTTATGTGTATGAGTGTATTGCCTGTATGTATGTGAGTGCACCTGTGTCGTGCGATGCATCAGAAGACAGCATTGGATTCCCCTGGAACTGGAGTTAAGGATGGTTCGTAGCTTCCATGTGGGTGCTGGGAATTGAGCCCAGGTCCTCTGCAAGAGCAGTCAGTGCTTTTAACCACTGAGCCATCTCTCCAGCCCAGAAAACTTTAAAGTTTATAAAATTCAGAAAACCAGCCACATCACTTAATGTTTGTTTCTCTTGTAATCTGCATGTCAGTCACATTTGTTGTGGTTTTAAAGATGTGTTTTTATTGTGTGTGCATGCATGCTTGCATGTGTGTGCGTGCGTGTTTGTGTGTGTAAAAGTATGTGCATGGAAATGCAGTGCCCTGGCTGCTAGTAACTGAACTCTGGTGTTCTGCAAAGGCAGCAAGCACTGTTAACCTCTGAGCCATCTCTGTAGCCCCCACATGTGCCCCCCCTTTTTTAATTGACTACATCTTGTGGATATCCCATTTTTCACAATATTTGCTGGAAGTTTGTTAATAAAAAGATGAGAAATTTGGACTTTTTTGTACTTGTCTGGGAAAATTAAGAGAGAAGAATTGATTTATTGTTTGAGTTTGCATAAAGTGTTATCTCATTCCTAAAGTTAGAGGGCCCAACTACCTAGCAAGTTCTAGAGTCACATGGTAGCATTCTGTCTCTATGTACCCTGACAATGCCCTTTCTAATGACACTCTAAAATTTATCTTTGGGGGAAAAAATTCAGACTTCAAAGGACGTTTGCAAAAATAGGTGACTGAGCTGGCTTTGGTGATACATGTCCTGAGCTTGGGAGACAGGAGAGGTGCCATAAGTTTAAAGCTAGCCTGAACTACATAGTTCCAGACCAGCCAGAGATAACCATAATACATGAAACTCTTTTTAAAAATAGAAAAGATAGTCGCGTGTGTGGCACCACCTTTAATCCCAGCACTTGGGAGGCAGAGACCAGTCTGGTCTACATAGCAAGTTCCAGGCCAGGTGTGGCTCCAGGGAGACCCTGTCTCAAGGAAGGGAGGGAAGGAGGGAAGGAAAAAAGAAAAGATGAAGTCACTAAAACCCCATATACTTTTTGTGTAGCCACCAGTTAACATTTTGCAACCTTCATTCTTCCACACTCTACTGTTTGGGGGTGTCTTTAAGACAGCCTCACTGTAGCCCCAGCTGACCTGGAACTCACTTATGTAGACCATCCCTGGCTGGCCTCTGTCTTACAGAGATCTGCCTGCCTCTGCCTCCTGAGTTCTGGGATTAAAGGGGTGCACTAGCACACCCAGCTGTTATTGTTAACAGCCTCAGACTCAGTAGCAGACATCATCTTACTCCTAAACACATTGGCGTGCATTTGCCAAAAACAAAGGTATTCTCCTATTTATAGTCATATGACAGTGATCAAATTCAAGAAGTCAAACATGGGTAACATATAGTCCACTTAAAAAATTTTTAAGTTGTCCCGTGAATATTTTTTGTAGTGCCCCCCATTGCCCTTGTATACGTTTGCTGCCTTCTGAACGTACCACATTGTCCAGAGGCAAGAGGGTTGTCTTTTGACTCATCTGCAGTCTCTTTTGAAGAAGAAAGGAAAAAAAATGACATGAAAAATGAGAAGTTACTGGCTGAAAAAAAACCCCACAGGGACTTTTGTTTTTTATTTTTCTAACTGGCTGGGTTGTGCTTTGACTCAGCGAAGTCTACAGTGCAGCAGGGCTTGGTGAGCATTAAAGGACCACTGAAGCTTCCCTTTATTTCATAATCCCATTTGTTTCTCTAGCACCCATCAATAGACTCAAATGACTGACTCAAATTTTGGATCCTATTCTCATGACTAAGCAAATGTTTGATTTAAAATCAGCCCAGTATAAAGGTCCCTGTGCCCAGAGCTGTCTGTAGCTAGTCCTTGATTTCTTTCAGCAGTGGAGAAATCAGCATTTGCGCTTAAAATGTCTAAAACTGGAACCAAGGTAAGTAAATGGTCATAGATTTTTTGCCTACCTGTTTTTCTTCCAATGGTACATCAAAAGGAACGTGGAGAAAAGCTATGCTTGTTTGTCTAGAGGGGAGTATGGTAGTGCTTAAAGGACAGACTGGACGAGAAAATTAAGAGCTGATTATTTACTAGTCTAACAATTATTGAACACTTCTATTAAAGACTTCTTTTGGTATGGTATTGTGTTGAATACTGTACAGGTAAATAATACATAATACCATCTTGACTTCTGCCTTGCAGCAGCTGGTAATCTATGACTCCCTAGCAATAGGACATGATGAGGACCATATGCAATAGAAAACTATAGTGCTCAAAATTTTGTATGATTTAGCCTCAACCATTACAGTTCCAAAAGATCAGTGGATAGACCAGTCCAGTGGACTGTCTTATATATCTCCTTCATTCAAACAGTGATTCTTAACCTTTCTCTAAACAGAATGCTCACTGACATTAGGAATTTGCCTCTAAAACATGTGACTCACCATTGCTTGTCTGGGAATCTATTTCTCAGGCCAGACTTTTGGAAGGAAGGAGTTCGCTTTTCCACTTACCAGTGAATCTAAGGCAAAGCCGTTATTTGGTGGCTGGTTTTAACCTCCCCACCCCCCGACTTTTTGTTTTGAAGTTTTTCAGACTTACTAATCTTGAAAGAATAAAAACAATGTTGCTAGGCAAGGTGGTGCAAACCTTTAATCCCAGTACTCAGGAGGTCCAGGCAGGCAGATCTGTGAGTTCTAGGCCAGCCTGGTCTAAGAAAAAAAAGTTCAATGAATACGTGTATATCTTTTCACTGACATTCTCCAATTTTTAACATTTTGCTGTATTTGATGTCTGTTAAGCCACTTGAAAAGTAGCTGACTTCATTGCCTGAAGTATTTAGATGTGTATCTCCTAAAAACAAAGCTGTTCCCCTGTGTAAATACCATCATATCCCAAAGATTTATCATAAATGTAATACCTAATGTACAGCCCATACTCAAGTCATCCCCAGTTCCCCCCAGAAACGTGCATAATATGGGATCCCAAGGTCATGCATTACCCTTGGTTATCTGGTTATTTTTCTTTGATCCCGATCTCTTCCTCTCCTCCTCCCCTTCTATAAAACCTCTCCATTTTTTTTGTTATTGTCTGAGACATTTTTCAAAGTCACAGATTAGGTGTATTAGAGAAAGTCTATCTGGATTGCATTATCTTTAAATCAAGAGTAAAGTCCGGCAAGAATGTAACATAGGCAACATTGATACTTCCCAGGACATGGTGTCAGGAGGGATCTGTGACTGGCTAGTGTCTGAATATTTTCTCCTGCTTTGACAAACATAACTAGTAATAGTCTAGATATTTTAGGGGAAAGACTATGTTTAGTGTTGTAAAACATACTGTGCAGATCCCACTGGAAAACAATGTGAAGACCTGGAGGGAAGACTTAATCTCAACATTATATAGATGTGTATTCTTTCTCATTGTTTCTGCCTTTCCCATGCCTTGTTAGCAGTTTAATCAGAAGTCACTGGCTTGGCAAAAGGAGCAGATTTTATTAGACATGTTTTTGTTAACTTCTGGGATACTCAAGGCATTTTTCTTTCTGCTTCACTGACTTGGTAGGCTATTTTTTCAAAAATACCTGAAAATAATAGGAATTTTGTAGTAATTTCTAGGAAAATGTGTACTTTAAAAAACCCTTTTCTACCCGCTCCCATCAAGCCAAAACCTCTCTATTAGCAACAGAGTGAACTGATTTCGTGTTTCTTTTACAAGTAGAGATTGTGTATAGCTGGGTGCTACATTCTTCCACTGAGCAGAGGCCTTGGGACTGGAGCTCAGTAATTAATCCATTAAAACATGATGAACACTTTGGTTAAACTTGGGGTGACTGGCTGATCACATGGGAGTGGACAACACAGTGACCTCATGTATATCTCTACTTCTCAGATCCTGGATAAAGCAGATGTGCAGAAAGCAGTAGTTGAGAAACAATGAAGGAAAACATAGACCACACTTCTCATAGCATATTGTCCCAGAAAGCCTCACTGTTGGTAAATAACTGGCCAAAACTCAGAAGTAAATTCAGTACTTGATTTTCATGACGATTTCTCTATAGGTCACAGGAAATAACCTTTGGGGGTTCTGGATCAGTAATATTGAGTGTCTCGGAGTATACCTGTGTTGTAGAGAGCCAGCCCTGCAGGTAGGAAGCCAGGAAAGAAGAGAATGAAGTACATTATTTCAGGGTTTGCCCTGCAGTCTGCTGGCTGGCTTGCTGCGGATACCTTCTAACTAGTAAATGATCTTTGGGGAGTCATATCTTCATCTGTTAAAAAAGTTTACGTCATTTAAAAATGTACTCTTTCACAATTTCATACACATATATGAAGTGTTTTGGTCATATTCCTCCCATTACCTCACCCCCTTCTCCCACTGAACCCCTTCTTCCAACAAACCCTAGTTTCTGTCTTGGAGTGTGTGTGTTTCACTGCATTTAATTGAGGTAGCTCGTGTGAGTGTGAGTAGAGGGTTGTTTACTTAAGCAGTGCCTGTACCCCCAGAGGAGTGTAAACCCCCTCCACCACCATTAGCTGCCTGTAGCTCCTATGGGAATGTGGGACTTCATGAGGCCTTTATCGTTTATTGGCAATTTTGGGTCAAGTATTAAACTATACACTTTATTGACATTATCCCATTGGACTCTAGAACACCCCTCTGCAGAAGATACCTTTACCTTGTTTTACAAATGGAGAGTCCAAAAGAAAGGCTTGATGCTCTGTTCAAGGTCGTATAACTAGTAAGCAGTGCTGGAAATGTTTTTATTTACCCATAGACAGGTGTCATATACTTCTAAGTCTGCTATGCTAAAATGAGAAAAGGAGCAGAAAAATAAATTTGAGGAGGGGAGACATAGTGGATGATTTTTATGGGAGATGGGATGAAAGCTTTTAGGGGACAGGAAATAGAATCGGGAGAGTTGGGATGGGTGGAGAAGGGGGAAGAGTGGGTAGAAGGAAAAGACCTTTAGAATGCTACTTTAAAGGAAGCATCACCCAGGATGAAAGAATAGAATTCTGGGCCCTTTGAGAACACTTTCCTTTCGATTTTATTCTCTCCATCTGGTTAGTTGCCAAATACCCAGCTTTGTTAGAGCACTTTCCCTTTGCAGTTGATTGGCAAAAACACTAATATGCACCTCCTCCCACACAGGAGAGCACTGAGCGTGGTTTACCACATGCTCAATGTACACTGGACTTAATTAACTACTTGTTCCTACTATGAGCTATGTGCTTTCCATCTTTTACTCTTCTGAACAGCCTTGTCCCTTTCCCTTTTTCTTTAGGAAACTCCTTACTTTTCAATCCTTGGTCAAAAATTCAAGGTTGCCTCTGCTTTCATCTAAAATAGCGTGGTTTTCTGCTGTCAATAAATCCAATCAGCCACAAGGTGGCGACATAAGGCCAAGACATTAGCTACTTCAAGCATGACTCTGATCTTCGATTACGGAATTCTAGCAGCACTCCGTCCGCTCTGGATTTTGTTTTGCCTCCAGGGCTTCCCGTCTGAGTCATACCTTATGACAAGTGGGAAGTGGAAGCCCAGAGAGATGCCTGGACCAGGTAGCGGGGTTGGTTGTGCGGAGGTGCCCCTCGAGCGCGAGCTTTCTGTTTTCCCACGACAACGTGCTTTCTCCGCCGTTCGAAGCTAACCCCAGGTCTCATGGTAGAAACTAGACCAGACTTTAAAGCAAAGAGCGCTGTACTGTTGCCTTATCGCGATATCTTAGTTACCTTGTTGGTGATCAATATAAAACACAATATATTTTCATCTGTTTATGCTCCGTATCCACCTCTAGGCTAGTCTTTCGTCTGGATCGTTCAGGATGAATTTCTGCATGTGGAACTTACTTATCTTTGTTAAACATATAGTGAGAGTTTCTCAACTGCTGCCGGATCAAACGGACCTATAGCTTAAAGAAGTCTTGGCCCTTACCCTTGGAAGAATAATAGGAGTCTGGCAGGAGGGATGGACTATAAATGGATATTCCTAAGCACAAGCAAGCAATTTAATCTGAAACGACTGGCTTATATTATAGCATTCTACTGCTTGGCTTCACTTTAAGAACATACTCATTCCTACTCATTCCAACTCCAATTTAGTTGACAACTAAAATTGCCATAAACCAAATGTTGTGAGGTAAACTAGAACGAAGTGTTTTCTCCTCACAACAATGCATTTTTATCCCTACTGTGAACAAGGTACCCAGCCTCAGTTCTCTGCTCTGTACTCTAGATTAGCTTCTATGAAGACAAAAATTTTCCAGGCCGGGGCTATGACTGATTTCGACTGTGCAGATTTCCACTCATATCTAAGCCGCTGCAACTCCATTAGAGTGGAAGGAGGCACCTGGGCTGTGTATGAAAGGCCCAACTTTGCTAGACACATGTACATCTTACCTCAGGGTGAGTACCCTGAGCACCAGCATTGGATGGGACTCAATGACTGCCTGGGTTCCTGCAGGGCTGTTCATCTGGTGAGTCTGGGGGCTTGCTGCATGCTCCCCCACCCACACACCTTTTTCTCTTTCTTTCTTTGAAAGATTTTACTTAATTTTAATTTATGTGTATGTGTGTATGTATATAGGCACTTGTAATCAGGTGCCTGCAGAGGCCAGAAGAAGGTGTCAGCTCTTCTGGAGCTGGAGTTCTAGGAGGTTGTAAGCTGCCTGATGTGGGTGCTGGGAACTGAACTCAGGTCTTCTGGTAGAGCAGCAAGTGCTCTTAACTGCAGACCCATCTCTCTAGCAGCCCACCACACCCTACCACTTTTACATGGGTAGCTGGTTTTTGTTAACTGATGATACTTAAATAAAAATTTAGGTTAGTTCATCATTAGACTGAAGACTACGTATTTCTATGACCCTTTAGACCTCAAGGGTATTTAGAGAAATTGTTTTTGCTTAATGAAAGTCAGCTCTTCCAGTATTTAATAGTGGGAGTGGGAATTCTGATGACCTTCCTTTCAGGATAACAGGCTGTGAGCCATGCTATTCTCTGAGTTCTTGGACTGCTGGTGGCTTCCTTCATAGTGCTGATCATTCCTTTCTGTGTTTTCTTCAGTCTACTGGAGGCCAGTCCGAGATTCAGATCTTTGAGAAATGTGATTTTAGTGGTCAGTGTATGAAACCACAGAAGATTGCCCTTCCATCTTGGAGCAATTTCACATGTGCGAGATCCACTCCTGTAAGGTACTGGACGGCATCTGGATTTTCTATGAGCTACCCAGCTACCATGGCAGACAGTACCTTCTGGACAAGAAGGAGTACCGGAAGCCCATCAACTGGGGGGCAGCCTCCCCTGCTGTCCAGTCATTCCGCCGCATTGTGGAGTGATGACATGAATTGGGCCATAGATTTTGTCCCTGAGGCTGAATGCTGGCTGGCTGGAAGTCCAAATAGGCATTGTAAATAAAATAATTGGAATGCATCCCACTGCTGAGTATGATGCCTCTTCTCAAATGTTTTTAGGAACCAGCAATGTAGTCCCTGCCACAGTGGGCAGCACAAAACAACTCATCCATCAAATTATCAATCTAGATCTCTATGTACAACCCAATAAGACTTCATCAAAAAGTTAGAAAATATTTCCATGTACTAGCTCTGTCCTAGTTTGGTTTCTGTTACTGTGACAAAGCACTGATCAAAAGCAACTTGGGCAAGGAAAGGATTTATTTGGCTTTCAGATTACAGTCCATCACTGAGGGAAACCAGGGCAGGAGCTCAAGGCGGGAAACCTGGAGATAGGCTCTGAAGAAGAGACTATGAAGGACTGACTGACACTTACCGGTTTGCTTCCTTGGCTTGCTCAACTACCTTTCTTGTATAGCCCAGGCCCACCTGCCTAGGGATGGCACCACCCACAGTGAGCTGTGCGATCATTTAACGATCAAGACAATACCTTACAGGCCAACTGATGAAGGAAATTCCTCAGTTGAGGTTCCTTCTTCTCCAGTGTCTCCAGTTTGTGTCAAATTAACAAAAATTAAGCCACACAAGCTCGATAATTATAGCTGCCATTTACCTGAGTGCTTGTCTTATCTGTTTTGTTTTGTTTTTTAATTCACAATTTACCATAAAAGAGAGGTGGTTGATTTGCATTTTACAATAAGGGAATTGAGATTTAGGAGAAATTAAAAACTTGCCCATGTTCACCTGGTGGTGAATGGAAAAGCTTGCATTTCATTCAAGATATTTATACTTCTGAAGCCATTATTTCAACTTTATTTCCAACTCATTCATTTGACTCATGATAGCTGGTGGTCTGCATGCACAGTATGAGCACAAGACTCTAAAAGTATTAAACAAGGGAAGAGCAGGGTTTCCCTGCATGTTCATCTAGGAGACAGAGTCCCTACTGAGGACAAGCAGTGACAACAGGGTTATAACCTGCAGGTAGCAGAGCTTCCATCACGTTATGTCCCTCATTTAAGATCTGGATGTGCAGTGTCAGCCGCTTCCCAGCTCAAAGTCCATGTTTGCTGTGAAAAGGATCTACTAACTTGTTCCTGTTCTACAATACATATCTATATATGTGTATGTGTATATATATATATATTTGGTCTTTTTGAGACAGGGTCTCCCTGTAGCCCCAGCTGACCTAGAACTCACTATGTAGACCAGGCTGGCCTTAAACTCACAGAGATCTGTCTACCTCTGTCTCCCTGGTGCTGGGATTAAAGGCGTGTGCCACCACACCCAGCTGTCTGCAATATCTGAAAGGGGATTTGAATGAGTTTTTCTTACTCTGAGTAACCCCTAACCCATTTAATCTTAATGAAGACACAGCGTCACTAAGAGTGTTAGTGTTTGGGGAGATGCAGAATATACCTGTCTTTAAAGAGATGACAAGCCCATGTCTTCTAGGGTTTTTTCCCAAAAAGGACAGAGGAGAATTGCTAAAGTCCCTTGTTCGTACTCCGATGCACACTACATACCTACAGTTCATTTCAAGAGAGGGACTTTGAGAAAAGTGGGTGAACGTAAGTAACTTGCAAACAAGTGCCATTTCTGGAAGTGGCCCCAGAGCTCCTGCTACCCATTAGCCATCAGGAAACTGAGGCTATGAGTTAGTTAGTGTCAGATCTCTCATATCACCTGCTGCTTTGTTCCTTGGGAGTTTATCACTGTCTGTTCAAAACAACCAGAAAAGTAATTCTGGCAGCAAGACGAGAAAACAAGTGTCAGGATGACTAACCACAGTCTAAGAGAAGCAAAGGATGGCTTTTAACAAAAACAATTCTCATTTTGGGGTGCTGAAGGCCTGCTGATCTATATCGTGATCAGAAAGACTGCCATCTCTTGCCAAGCTACAGGTGCACCAGTGTGCTTTTGCTTAAAAGGAACTTTACCAGCAGTTGATACTGGAGGTCAGAGCACCAGTCCGTCCTCTATCCATTAATTCCTGCTCTTTCTGGTATAGCATTCGGCTAGTAAAGCAAAAGGCTGGTGTCCTGCCTCTCAACCACACTCCAGACAACTAGGCTGTCATGCTGAGTTACTCCCTCTACCTTTCATTGTCTCATTGCTTTGGAAGAGTCCCAAGAAAGTAATGTCAGCTGTACTTACACCATTTTAGCTTTTGCTATCCCAAGCATCCTCTAAGACAAGTTTCTGAGTATGCCCCAAATATGAAGCCCACTTCCTCAATGAGCAATGTCAAGAGCCCCATGTAAAGCCTTCAGGGCAGAACTGGCAGATTAAATACAGGATAGCATTAGTAAAGGCCAAATACTGGGATATAAATATAAATGTGGTAAGTTTAGCCTCAAGTCTGTATGGGACATGCTAGAATTATCATTTGTCTGAAAGTCAAGTATAACTATATCCTTATTTGTTTTTGCTATATCTGGCCACGTTACTATAAGGACAAGGCAAATCATTCATGAGTTGTGTGGGGCCAAAATCACATGGGACAGTGCAGGTTCTAGAGCACAGGCCCCACAGAAGGACATATAAATACATTGCCTTAAGAAAATGGCAAGCTAATAAAATATGTCTGCCCCTGGCTGGACTCGTGGACTACTAACTTACCACGTTGGCTTAAGAAGACCTCTGATACACAAAACTTTTGCCACATGAAGCCAACATCTGCCCCTCTAACTTCCAGGCTTCGGTACTAGTTCTAACATCGTTTCATCCACAAGATAGCTTAGAGGTTCCTTCTGTTTCCCTTCATGCATTAGTACCACACTGAGCAACTTTGCTTTCCACCATTCTCCTGATGTCCTAGTTCATAGACTCCTGTTCCAGAGCTTGCCTTCTGTGCCAGTTGCAATTTATGTCTTCCCTGTCTTCCTGCAGCATGACCCATGCAGATCACATTTGGACTGTGTTTAGTTCTCCTCCTCTCTTCTTAGATTTACAGATTTTTTTAAACTAAGCTTAGCTCTCCTTATGTTCATCTACCAGTTCTGATGTGGGATCCACTATGTTTTCCTAAGAACTGGCCCTCTCTCAAAAGCTAGAGAGTCCCCTTCCTCTCTGGGAGTAGATTTGAATTCTGCTACTAACACCTCTCAGACCCTAGATATACTCTAACATGGATAACTTAAATTTCCTCATCTGTAGCATCTACTTTGTGGGCATTAAAATGAAATAATATATGAACAACATGTAACGTGTGCACTTTGTGCTCACAATCTCTGGTAGTTATAAAGACACACAAACACTGAATAATAAATACTGAATTGTTAGGTTTCTGTGAGCCTCTGCTCACAATGTTTTGTCAGTGAGCCTCCTCTAACCTCTTCTATTGTATGTTCTGTATCAAGATACATTAAGTCTGTTGCTGATTCAGTATCATAGAATTAACAGCCAGATGAAAGGTCATCTAACACGCACATTGCAGTCTTTCCATGCGTAGAATACACAGCTTGTTGGCACTATATTTGGAGGCCATTTTTATCACTTATTAACGTTTTTAAAATATTTTATTATTTTATTTTTATTTTATGTGTATGAATGTATTACCTACATGTGTGTAAGTGTACCCATGTCATGTAATGCCTAAGGAGGAGAGAAGAAGGCACCAGATCCCCTGGAACTGGAGTTACAGATGGTTGTTAGCCACCATATGGGTGCCGGGAATTAAACCTGGGTCCTCTGCCAGAGCAATTGGTGCTCTTAACCACTGAGCCACCTCTCCAGCCCCCAGGAGGCTGTTTTTATGTAATGAACAACAAAAAGGAGGAGTACAGAGAACATGGCACCCTGGCTTACATCGTGAGAGCAGAAACAAAAGGGCAGAGCGCTTGTTCGGCCTTAGCCAGGATCATTTCACGGGGTGACAGAGTATTCTCCCCTTTACTCCTGCCCATGAATGGCCTCAAAAGCACTGTGATTGGTGACTTTGGGATTTCAAATTTGACTGAGGAGATGAATTTGCAAATATGGAATCTATATGATGAAGATCAACTGGTCTTGCCACCATGGTTACACGATCTAGCACTAAAAACCTCTTTTGCCAAGTCCTTTGGATTTGCTGTTGTAGTTTTTCACTTAGCCAGCTTTATACCTTTATACTTTATCCTCCAATTGTTTTTGGAAATGTGTGTGTGTGTGTGTGTGTGTGCGTGTTTGTGTGTGTTTGTGGTTTGTGTACATATGTGTCTGTATGTTCATATGTATGGGGGTACATATGTAGGGGTACACATGTACCAGTATATATGTGCCTGTGGAGGCCCAACATTGAGGTCAGGTATCTTCCTCAATCCCTCTCCACCTTATACATATTGAAGCAGGGTCTCTCCCTGAATCTGGAACCTATCTAGTCAGGCCAGTTTACTTCAGGGACTCCCTGTCTCTGCCTCCTGGGTGCTGGGATTACTGGCAGACCACCAAGGTCACCTGGTTTTTACATTAGTTCTGTGGATTTGAACTCAGGTCCTTGGGCTTACAAGCATTTTACCTGATAAGCTATCACCACAGCCCATAGTTGGGAAAAAAAATGTCAGAATCATCTGACACATCCCATATCTTGGGGAAAAAACATATTTTAAATTTTTAAAATTTATTTATTATTTTTTATAAACATTTTTATTTATTATTTTTATTTATGTGTATGAGTGTATTGCCTGCATGTATGTGTATGTACCCATGTAGTGCATTGCCACAGAGGTCAGAAGAGGGCTTTCGGATTCCCCTGGAACTGGAGTTAAGGACGGTTTGTAGCCGCCGTATGGGTGCTGGGAATTGATCTCAGGTCCTCTGCAAGAGCAGTCAGTGCTCTTAACCACTGAGCCATCTCTCCAGCCCCATATTTATTATATTTTATGTGTATGAATTAAATGTATTGCCTGCATGTATGTAAGGACACCCATGTTGTGTAATGCCTT